ATTCTTCTACAGAATCTTAATATTGTATCTTTATATCAACATTTTCCATCTTTAAAGCATCATATATATATATGTATGTAGATATGTATATATTTGTATATACAATTAACATGGTTCTAATCAGAAAATATATACTTGTGTTAGAACCATGTTAATCGAACTGTCTTCCAGAATAAGCCATCTAAATTGTTTCAAAGTTATCTAGAATTGTTACCAAGTCTAATATTACCATTTATACCCATTCAATATTAATTCTGATTAGCCAAAGTTCATTTCAAAATATGCAAACTCTATTGCAAATAAAGCATAGATAGAGACAGAGATAGAGGCAAAGATAAATGCTTTTCATCTCTAGTTCCCACAAAACTTGGCAAGTAGATGCCTCCTTTGATTTGATGACTGTTCTCAGAAATCTTCTCAAGTTGTGTGTGTGTGATGCCTAAATGTAGCAGTATTTGTCTGTTATATTGCCCTTAAACCAACCTAGGTTTTGCTCTGCTTCTGGTTATGTGGTTGATCGTAGATCTCCTATCAGGATGGTGTCCTTTGTGACTCCAGGTGTGCTGCTGTGTGTGTTCTGAAATGCATACATCTCACTACACCCCTGTACTTTGACTTATTTGTATTTGTTTACTAGGCACTCAACAGGCTTTTGCAGTCTCTCTAGGTAGCTAGGATTACAGGCATGAGCTATTAGTTCCTAGTCTTGTCAGCTCTCTTTAATGCTCTGTCTCCAACATCTGGAAATTTCATTGCTCAATCTGCAAGCTGCCCCTAAACAAGCTCCAAGTTGCGGTATCATATCAATTCACTGAAGGAGAGAAATGGGCGAACAAAGCCCTACTTGGGATCTTAGTTTACCTCTACTTATCCTCAGAAAGGTTTCTCTAAGACAATTTTAACAAAGATCAGAAGACTGAGAACAGTGATCTAAAACAGCATTTTTATTCTTTCTGTTTACTTCAGGGACTTCCTGAGCAGCCACTTGGGCCAGTAGTAGAATAGGGACTGGGCTGGGTGAGGACCCCTAAAGTCTCCCCCTCTCTTTTGATTTCTCATGGCGTTTGGGGTTGGGATTGGGACTAGGGTCACCACTCCATAGAAGGAGTTCAGGAAAATGTTCCGTTCCCCTAGACATATAGGCTCATGCTCACGGGCATAGAGTGGGTGAAGAGAGTGCACATCATTGTTCAAATTGTCTCTCCACCAAAACTGTGGCTTTGACCTCCAACCCACTTGGTAAGCAGGAAGCCCACGTTGACGGTCCTGAGGTGGATGTTGAGGGTGCCAAAGAACTGGCCTGCAGGAGAGAGGAGCATAAGATGGGGCTGTCAGGGACTCCTCACCCAGGCTGTCATGAGACAACTCCTGAAATCTTAACCTGGCACCTGGCCCTCAAGAGTGTTCCATGCATTCCTGCCTCTCCTCTGTGCTCCATCTTCTACTTTTAAAATTTTATTATTAGTATTGTAGTCTGGGCTCTGGGTCGAACATTTGTGACAAAGATGCTCTACCACCTGCATCATGTCCTCATCCTTTTTGCCTTTTAGTGATTTTTCAGGTAGAGAAACACACATTTAACCTAGACCAGCTTCAGACCAAGATCCTTCTACTTAAACCTCCCACATATCAGGGGACTACAAGTATGACCACTGCACCTGGGCCTCTCTTCCTATAAGTCAGCACTTTCCTCAGTCCTCCATTATCAAAATGATTCTACCTCTCTTCACAAGAGTTCCCCTTCATCTGTCTGAAGAATCTTCCCTCTTCCATCCCCTTTTGAAGTGCTAGGGTTGCGACCCAAGTGGTCATGCATGCCGGAAAATGATGCTGCCACTAAGATCCACCCCCAGTTCCTCTGCCTCTTCCAGTGTCCTAGACCTTGCTGGTGCTCAATCCCAAGTGAATGTTTTCATTTCCCCAAGACCATCCACTCTTATTCCTGGCTTCATCCTTCCTCTCACCCCCACAATCTCATCTTGAGAATGTTTCAGGAAGTCCAGGCATCTGAGAACCAGCAGTCCCTCTGAACATTTTCTCTTTTCCCTGGCCCTACCCATGGGATGCTCATCTGATTATTAGGCTAGGTAAAGAGGGGCTCCACCAAATCAGGTACCAGACAATGGTAGAGGCGGATGACGCTTGTGGCTTAGGTGGAGCCTGAGGACAGGAAGGGATAGGATGCATCCTGAATGTGGGTACAGGCTGGTCTAATGAGGTCAGCTTGGGAACTGGGGTGGGAGATGCTGACTGACAACCCCAAAATAGCTGGGATACAGAGTAGAAGATGACCATAACAGTAACCATAGACACTAGGAGTAAGAATATAGTGAGCAGGAGGCATAGCATGTAACTAGCAGGAATGTGCAGATCCGTGGTGTGAGAAAGGCATGTGAGGGATGAGGACCCTGTGCTGTCTCCCTTAACATAATTAGGTCATTGTGTGTGTGTGTGTGTGTGTGTGTGTGTGTGTGTGTGTGTGTGTAATTGGAGAGAAGTGTCTCTTGGCCATTCCTGTCTGGGCTGGCTTTGGCTTTGAACCATTATCCTCAGATCTCAGTGTCCTGAGTAACTAAGATCATAGGCCTGCACAAATATCATTGGTCTTCATTACCATGTCTTTAATTCTAACTTAGCTGAAATCCCTACCTTCTCGGCTGGAGAATGGCTCTAGTATCTGACTGTCCATCGGATTTTACATTTCTAAATGTGTTTCCTGCCTCATACTCTGATAAAGTCTTTTGGTTCTATCAGCCCTCCCATCACTGCTTACTTCTACCTCCTGATCAGACCAGCACCTGTTCTTCCTGGTCTCAAAGCCTTGCTTCTGCCTACATCTAACTCGCTCTACTTTCCTCCTGTCAAAATCATTCCCACCTTCCTATCCAAGCTTTAAACTTCCTATGGCTTCATACTTCAGCCTTTATCCTTTTTCTGTCTCTTGTGCTTGGTTTTCTATCACATGTCCCTGGGGATTAAATCCCAAGCTGGGTCCAGGCTTGCTAACTGTGCTATGCTGGGCTACATATTTTTAAACCTTGCAGGATATTTTTGTTGTTGCTAGGAAACTGGGGATACTTTTTGTGACTAGAGTTGGGGTTGAACTATAAGCCTGAGTCCTGTCCTTAGGCTGTTCCCCTCAAGCCTATTTCTTTACCACGTGAGCCATGTTTTTTGGTAGGAAATTAGAGATCAGAATCTTCTGGCTGGGGACCAGCGCCTCATGCTTGTAATCCTAAAATACCCAGGAGGCTGAGATTTGCGGATCAGTATTTGAAGCCAGTCTGGGTAGGACAGTGTCTGAGACCCTTATCCCCACCAAACTACCAAAAAAGACAGAACTGGAACTCTTGCTGAAGTTGTAGAATACTAGATTTGAGCAAGAGAAGCTCAGGGACAGGGTAAAGCCTTCTGGAATTTCCAGACCAGGCTGCTTATGTCATGATCTTCAAATGTGAGAGTCCAGAATAGCTAGGATTACAAGCATGACCCACTGTTCCTAGCAGGAAACCAAAGAATACAGAACAGTAAAACACAATTCTAGAAAAATAGATGTGAGGGCTGGGAAGGTGGCTCAGTGGTAGAGCGCTTGCCTTGCATGCCTGAGGTCCTGGGTTCGATTCCTCAGCACCACATAAGCAAAAAGAAAAAGAAAGCCGGAAGTGGTGCTATGGCTCAAGTGGTAGAGTGCTAGCCCTGAGCTGAAGAGCTGAGGGACAGCACCCAGGCCCAGAGTTCAGGCTGCACAACCGGACCCCCCCGCCAAAAAAAGAAAAATAGATGTGACATTTGTACTTTTTTGTATGCAGATATTTTTGACAAAAGAGTAAATGTAAAATAACGAGAATTTACTCCCACTTAAGAAAGTTAATCTGCTAAAATGCGAAATGACATAAAACAAATTGTGTCACATATTATATATATATATATATACACATATATATATATATATATATATATCCTGTTGACATTTCTCTGTCATTTTTGTAGTAATTGTACAAAGTGTAATGATATGTACAGGGTCTTTGCCTGAAACAGCTATTTCTTTCTTTCTTTTTTTTTTGATTATGTGGTGCTCTTTATTGCCAAAAATAAAAACTTTGAAAAAGACAACTACTGCTAATCAGTAAGTATCCCTTCCTCTGCACCAGTCTCTTAGGTTTGTCCAGGCTGCCCAGTGTACTGTGCTCCTCACAGAGCCTTTGCTGATGGGATATGGAGGGGGTGACCTTTGCTCTTGCTTCTCCCCACCGAACACCCCAAGCCAAGTGGACAGACTGCTGGCACTGAATGCGCTCATAACACAAGGACAGAAAAAAAAAAACACACAAAAAAAACCCAGCATACCTAATTGGGGGAAGAGGAGGATGTCTAATGCTATTCCCAAAAGAGTTACTTCTCAAATTACAGACACCCAGGAATCTGAAGTCCCTTGGGGAAAGGACTAAGTGAATATGCTGGCAGAGGCTCTGCTCCTAACTCCAGGAAACTAAGGTAGAGGTGTGAAAATTCCGTCATTTGGAAGCAAAGAGCTGGAATGATCATGAGAGAATTCCAGCTCAGTGGTCTCCACAGAGAAGCAGCATGTCCCCCTAGTGGTGTTACTAGCAAACTGGATGGAAGGGATGGATGCAAGGGATGTGCTGGGTTATGAAGAGCTCTACTGGCAATCCCTAGCAGGGCTAGGCAAATGGGAAAGTAGAAAGCTGTCTGTCTGCCTAGCCAGATATGGTGGTGCAAAGCTCTGGTCATGTGTTTGAGACCAATATAGCCTACAGGGTAAGAACCTGCCTCAAAAAACAAAGAACCAAAAACAACCACCAAAAAAAGTATCCTGGTATTCTACCTGTAACCTGCTTCTTGCTGGTACTGATGCCTGCCCAGAGTTTGAGCAGTAGCGAGCAGTCCAGAGCCCAGAAACTACAGGGGCTCAGGAGAGACCTGAAATCCAGCCATGGTCTGCCTCAAAGTCCGCCTTTGCTGGCACAGGTGAGCTTCTGCTAGTGTATAGTACCTACATCACTCGGGATCTCATGGCTTAATTGAGTCCGTAAATCACTCAGCTTCTTCAATCCAGAGAGGGCTGAGAGGACAATGGTTTCAGGGCTCAGAGAGCCACAGGACTCCACGCTGTAGTAAAACCTCTCAGGCTTGCCGTTGGGGTCATGGGGAGCCTGTGACTCATCCTCGTCCAGTTCCAGCTCTTTGGCCATTCCTCAGGTTTGGGGTAATCTGTGTGCCTCGGGACATCGTCTGGGTCATGTTCAAAAGCCACCCCTGCAGTGGGGTTCCACTTGGCATGTTCCTTGCAGAAGCCGTTTTGGGCATAGGCTCGAAGTCTCAGCTCCTGGCCCTTCCTCAGCTTGACGATGAGGATGTCATCCTGCTCCACGTAGTCATTGGGGTCGTTATCGCGCTTCCGGGATGTCACTGGAATGACCCGGGGGCTGTTGGAGATGAGGTCTCGGGATGTGACGTGACGTGTCTGGTCTTCATTACACCGCACATCCAGAGTGAACTCCACTGAGCACTCGGGCAGAACTCCTCACGTGTACAGTCCCGAGAGTATTGCAGCTTGTCCACGATGTCATCACCGGTGAGTGGAATTAGTCCAAGCTGTGAGCAATGAACTCATCATGAAGATGGAAGAACTGGCATCAATCTGGACCCAGTCGATGGCTATTATGGGTACCTGGGGGATGAAGATTCTTCCAATAGAATTGGCCACCGCCAGGTCCGTGTTCTCGATGATGAACTTGACGTTCTCTTCCGTGAGCTCCGTGATGCCCACGGTGGGCTGGTTGGCGTACAGAACCCGCAGTTTCTTTCTTTTTCTCCTCCTTTTGAACCACTTTTAAGAGGTTCCATTATTCCATTTTCATATATAATGTACTTTGACCATGATCGCCTCTCCCCCAACCCTATCCCCTCAGCCCTTCAATTTTTGAGACAGGCTGTTTTGGAGATCAGCTTTTCCTCAACCTTGAGAGCCTCCTGCCTTAGTCTCCTGACTGTTGGGAATACAGACATGTATTACCATATCCAGCTTCATCTTGTTTCCTCATTCTATCTATGCTTCTATCTTCAGATTAACCACTTCTGCCTTCTCCTTCTGTCTAGCCATCCATCTGTACCCCTTCCCTCCATCTAAATTAGTGCTATTACACGCTGAGCCTCCATCTCCTACCCTCCCCTGCTTTTCTGTAAGAACACTATTTTTTTTCCTTCTCTGTCCATCAGAAAACTCCGTCTTCCTGTGTGCCCATTCCTGCAACCTCCTTCCCCATCCAGCCCCTCAGATCTCCAGCCTCCATCCAAACAACCATGTCCTGGTTGTCTATTCACCTAATCCTGGTACCCAGCTCCCTGGGCCTCCTCATGCCCTGCCTCCCTGGGATCAGCAAAATTGACAGAGATAGGGCCAGGGGCTTTGGGAAAACACAATGGCTGAGCAGGTCCTGCTAGTCGTCCACGTGGACCATCGCCTCCAGTGAACAATCTGGACATGGGAGAAGAGACATGGCATTCAGGTTTGACAGGAATACAAGGACTGACACCCCCAACCCACCCTAACAATGACAGAAATCTACACAGGAGACTCATGTGTATCCTCTCCTGTAAACTGATGAGTCCAAGGTGTGGGAAGGAAGGAGTTCAGAGGCTCTTGTCCCAGCCTCCAGCTCTGACCCTACCCATACTCATTGGAGAAGATGAAGTATCCATAGGTGACCATGAGTCTCTCTCTACATGAAGAACATGGTCCCATGGACACATTGGCCATAGCCTACATCCTAGGTTAGGAGGGACTAAGGTCTACAGTTCATGGAACTGTCATTCTGAAAGCCCTGGACGTGGCCCAGATGCTCAAACCCAGTGACACCCCCTAAATAGCCTTCTTCCAGGCATTCAACTGGCATATACTAGGGTGCTGTGTCATTAGCCAAGCTTTCCTTCTCTGCTCTCACCCATTCTGCCATCTCCCAAACATTCTGTTCGCCCCTGCCTCTTCTTCCAGCTGGCTGCTTAGGCTCCCCTCATCATCCACACATCTCTCCACACCTGTATCCATGCCTCTCTTCCCTGTAAGCATATCCTCCCCAGCAATCTGACCATCTCTGTTCCCCAACCCTGTCCATTCTGATCCCCATTCCACCTGACCCTCTGATCCCCACAATTCTCACAGATATGGGGGTTAAAATAGTAGGCAAACTCACTCGGGTAATATGCTTGACTTTCTCTCTTGAGGGCTCCTGACCATGTGAAATCCCTCCTTTGTCAGGGTCCCACCTGAAAGCTAAAGTCCAAGGCTGCTATGAGAACATCAGATACAAGAAGTGCCTCTCCCCCTGCCTGCCCCATCACACAGGCTCCATGGCTGCCCACTCACTGGCAGAATTCCATGGAGATGTCATGTCATCAGGGTGGCACACAAGGTCAAAGCCATAAGGAATACTAGTGCAGGAACAGAAATAGTCTGTGGGCTCAGGGTAAGGGAGATTCAGAGGACCTCTTTCTTCATGACTCAGCCCCTCTGTCATCCTGCATACCTGACACACGTAGCCCCTGAAATTGACCTCATGGCTCCACCATGAATAATGCAGTGGGACCAAAACCAGAGGGTCTGGGTGTGGTGGGAGGTCTTACTCTTCTACATCCTAAGTGTGAGTGAAGTGTGAACAACTGAGCCTCACAGATGCTGTTGAACCCCTGGGATAGGAAGACTGAAGCCTCTTTGTCCTTCACTGCTGTCTCCTTGGGACTCATAATACCACATAGCTTCCATTTTTGTGTGTGTGTTCTGGTACATGGGATTGAACCAAAGTCCTAGGTGATGATGCTTAGCTTTTTCACTCAAGACTAATGATATAACTGAAATATGAATATTGGATTAAAATAACCACAATCTGTCCTTCCCACCATCCTGGTGCCTTCATGAGTGGTGGGGGCTTTTCTGAAAAGCCTAAAAGGTAATATAGGTCATTCTTTGAATTGCAGATGCATCATGTTGTTTAGCCCCAGGCGAGTTCTGCTCCAGAGAACATGCAGATGTGTCATGCTGTTCAGCCCTAGATAGTTTGCTTTTCTTGCCCCTGATGTTTCCCCTAGATGGTTTGCTTTGCCTCTATAAACATGCTTTTGTTAGTTTGGTCCCTCACCCCATCAAGTGTTTTTGGCTTTTAAGCTTTGTGTAAGCTACTCTCTAGGTTGCTGGTTGTTGGATCACAGGTGCACCTGCAGTCATTGGCCTTCTAGTTAAGACTTCTAGTGTGACCTCTCAAAATGTGGCTTCTCTGTATCTAACCATCAAGTGCCAGTATAACATAATACTTGAGCTAGAGATTCACACTCAGGTTTTTTTTTTTTGCTTAAATCTGGGGAATTTCCTGTCTTGCCTTACTTTTTACTATGTTCCCAAGACCATTAATGGTATAATGGCCAGGTCTGGTCCCTCAAGCCTCTTATCAGCTCCCCTGCCTTTATTTCAAGCACCAGTACTGGCAATAAAAAGAAAAAGAATGAGGCATTCTTACTGTCTAGATGGTTTCAAAATCATAGTAATCATTTAGCAGTATAGACATAGATAATGAAAACCAAGCTTTGCTTGGGGGGCGTGGGGTGCTCTGGCTCATCCCTGCAATTGTAGCTACTCAAGAGGCTAAGATATTATGATCATGGTTTGAAGCTAGCCCGGTTATCTTCAATGAATCCCTCCTCCAAAACAGCTCGATATGAAACTTAGTTAAGTAGTAGAGCACTCACTTTGAGCAAAATAAACTCAAGGACAGTAAAAAGGCTCTACATATGCACACACAGAATATGCAAGATTTCAGTGAATCATAAAGTAACTACCCTGAGTCAGAATAACATAAGACACATACTTACCCCCAAGCAATGTCCAGTGACCAGAGTCAGGTCAGTCTTGGGCACAGTTAGCTGTGTGTCAAAATAGAGGTCCTGGGAAGAGATTTCACACTGTAGGTCTGGCACTCTCTAAGCCCAGCTCTAGGAGACTGAGGTCAATGGCTAAGGAAAGAGGATTGCAATTCCTAATGTAGCTGTGGCAACCCAATGTACCTCTATCTTTAAAAAGTAGCTGTGTATATGGCTCAGTGGTAAAATGTTTGCCTAGCATATTAAATAAATACAAATAGTCAAAATATGTAGGTGTAGTGAGATGTATGCATTTGGGAACACACACAGCACAATGGACAAAAATAACCTGACAGAAATCTACAATCAATCACATAAGCAGAACGAGAGCAAAATCTATGTTGTATATCATTTAATAGACACATACTGCTACAATTAGGCATCATACATATACAACTTGAGAGGATTTGTGAGAATAGTGATCAAATCAAAAACATATGGATGGAATTGAACACACACACATACAGAGCAGTGAAGCCATCAAGGAAGTTTTAGAGCTGTTTTGACTACTATGGCTTTTTAGTTTGAAATTTGGTATTGATATTCCTCCAACACTGTTCTTTCTGCTAAGGATTGTTTTTGCTATTCGGGGTCTTTTATTGTTCCATATGAATTTTTGGATTGTTTCTTTTATTTCATTGAAGAATGAGGTTGAGATATTGATAGGTATCACATTGAGTTTGTAGATAGCCTTTGGCAGTATTGTTACTTTCACGATGTTAATCCTACCATTCCGGGAGCATGAGAGGTTTTTCCACTTCCCTAGTTCTGCTTTAATTTCCTTTTTCAGGTTTTTACATTTTTCATCATAGAGCGCCTTCACTTCTTTATTTAGTTCCTAGGTATTTTATCTTTTTT